GTAATAACTAATAATTACTAATAAAAAGTCCCCAGGCCAAGAAGGTCACCTTAATACCGAAAAAAAAAAAAAAAAAACAAAGTTATATTTGATTGCATTCTTTTGCAAAGCCAGCTGCAAGGCTTGTTTTTTTGTTGGTAAGTTTTCTAAGTCTTCAAATAATTTTTCATCATGCCTAGAATAGTTTAAAAATTTTGTCAGGAGTATAGTTTAGAATAATATTTAGCTCATTCTTGATGATATAAAATTTGGTCTTTGAAAAAGTTTGTTAATTGTTCATTTATCTCTTCTAGATATTGAACACGTGCTTCTAGACACTCAATAATTTCTTGTTGAATTTTTGGATCTACTTCTTTTTCTTTTTCTTTGTTTCTAGTTGTTGATTCAATTTCTTTTTCCTCATTTATTAGAGTTTCCGAAGTAGAGGCTTCTGGTTCTATACTTTCTAAGAGTTTTAACTTATTTAGTTCTTGATAACACTTGTTGCAGAGTCCTTGTTTATATCTAACTCTTTAGTTTGCCTAGTGTGAAGACATTCCAAGCAAAGTGCTACTTTGCTTTCAAAGTTTCTACGTAGATTTTCTAAGACCTTGCGAGAATCAAAATTTAGTCATGAGATATTAAATGATTCTTGCAAAATTCTTTGCAGAGTAGCTTCTTCCTCTTTGGTTAAAGTTGCTTGCTGATTTGTTCGAAGAAGAATATCAATTTCATCAGTAGTCTAGTTATGATTATACTAATCATTATCTTGCTCTATTATTAGTAATTCTGTTATTTGGCTAGGATTTTCTTCTTCTAATAAAGCTTGAGCTAGTCTATAAATTCTACTTTGATTAAGGTTGTATTGGTATCCTGCATTCTGGCTAGATTCGGTATAATGTCTAATTCTTGTCCAAATCTCATAGTTTTCATTGTAAATTAGATCTTGGCATACTTTATATGCATACATATGCTCTAATTCACAAAACCAAAGTTCTTCTCGAATGCTTTCTAATCGATGCATTCTAGTTCTAGGTTTCTGATAATTACAAACTTTACAGTGAACAAGAGTTCCTCTTCCCAATCCTGTTTGGTAATATTCTTGACTACGTGGGTCATTTAATTCTAATTCTTCATGAAATATTTTGTAACAAACAGTATATATAAGCTGATTGTCTAAGAGATATAACTTGTCTGGTGTTTGTGGGGTTAGGCATTGACAGCAGTAGTGAGTTCTATGTCTGCTATAATGATTAAGCCTTTTTGCTTCTATTTGAGTCTTGTCACAACTACAATGATAAGTTAGATTGTCTAGTTTCTGTTGTGCTAAAGGGCAATTAATTTCAATATGTCTTATTTCCTTACAACCAAAACACAAGTTCTGAGGGCAGTCTTTGAACAGGTAGTCGGTTTGGTTGCAATTTTTACAATTAGCTCTTTTGTTCTGTTTATTTGGGCAGTTAATAATAATATGACCCACTTCATGACAATATTTACATTCATTCTGGGGGCAGTCTTTATACTGGTGGTCTTGAAGACCACAACTTTTACATTTCAGTGGGTTTCTATACCGAGGTGTATAGGTAATCCATCCTTCCTCTCCTTCCTTTGTTGTTGTAAAAGCATAGGCTTCTTGAGGTGTTAAATATTCCTGCTCATATAGTTCAAAGTCTTCTGGTATGATACAAGTGGGTTGCTTCTCTTTGGGCTGTTCTTGCTTATATGAAGTGTCAATTATAAGTTTCTTTCCTTTTCAGTACATAGTATATTGGCAAGTTTTCCAATTATAGTTTGCTTCAATTTTCTAGACCAATCATTTCCCAAAAGTAATGAATATAAAGTAGCAGGTACTACTTCTACGTCAATAGGAATAGTTCTACCTTGAATTTTAACAGGTAGGTTTCTAATAATACCA